TAGTGTCAAACATAAGTGTTTTGGAAAACATAAAACCATTCCTAGTACACACATGCCATTTTTTTTGTACTAATTGTAGTTACGACCTTAAGGGCAAAGAGTACAAAATAATATAGTTTAAAATAGCATAACAAACAACAGAACTTTTACAAAACAAAGTATTAAATCATAATATTAACTTTATTGAACTTGCTTATTGAATGTACCGTACAGAAAATAAATATATTGTTATGGTTTCCATCGATAAAATCTTTTTAGACACCGTTTAGACCATAGTTATAAATAATTATGATATTTTTGTTTGTAAGCGTTGAGGAAAAGCACAAAAAAACAATGATTATTTAAATACTTTGAGTAAATAGCGATGGCGATGTTCAAACTAAAACAACTATTTAACATGTATAACTAAGTGAAGAAAAGGTATAAATAATATAAGTAACCAGAAAAGACCAAACCAAGAAAGTGATTTAGTTTTTTATAATATACAAAACAGTAAAAAAAGTAAAAACGTTGAAATTATTTACAAATGGTCAAAAAATTCATATAGCCAACAAATGTGTTTAAAGTATTGACCAAAACTGTTATATAACTATTTGTAATAGTGCGATATGGAAAAAATTATTGATACAGTATATAATAAAATAGAATTTTAAAATGTATCTAATAATTATTAATAATGAATTATGAGTGTATAGAAATTATTAGTACCTAATCTTGATTCAAAAGTACTTCCTCTTTTTGGATATCCGGCCGAAATTGAAATATATCAAACATATAGTGTTTGTAATAAGTAACATCGTCTTCTGAAGAAGTTAGGATGCAAGTGCCATCATCGTCAACCTTGGCAGTTTTTATAAATGGCAATGTTCCAAATCGTGGGATCGTTGAATTTTTATATAATCCAATTAAATAACAAACATGAACAGCAGTAAAACTTTCTTCCTTTCTTCCTTAAAAAATACAACATTAATTTTTTTTAACCTGATAAATGTAGCTTATTATTTAGGTACATGAATTATTATTTATAAAATTCGTGTAACATTCATTCAAAAAAGAAACATTAATAAGAAAATTGATTAAGAATAATATTATTAAGAATTTTTATTTTCTTCAATAAAACTTTGTAGTAGATTGCATGTCATAAATATATTAGTTGTGTTGACTAGTTATTGAATATAGTTTTAATATTTCTAGTCATAATTTATAGCTAGTCATAGTTATATTTTTGATATATTGTTGTAAATTATTACCTATTCATTAAAAGTGTTTAAAATAAATTGTCATCACATAAACGATGTACCAAACATGTTAATAGGTATTTTAAGAACAAGAACTGAATTGAAAAAACTGAATTCAAAAGTCTAATCAACATATAATCCTAAGTATTTAAATTTATGGACTCCTTTAAATGACATATATTTTATTGTTATTGCATTTTGTGAATAAAATCATACATTTGAATTTTTTTTCATTGACGACAAGACCAATCTTTTTCGCTGCATCCATCAAATTTTCGGTTGTACTTTTGAGACTATCCTCTGTTTCTGCTATCACTACCCTGCTTACGCGACCAATACTATCTATTATCTTTGTTTCATATTCAAATTTTAAACCCTGTGGCTCACTTTGCAGTTCTTCTTTAACGACCGATTCAACGCAGTGTTAAATAAAACCGGAGACCCTGTCATCACCTTGTCTTACCACTGTAACCTCCTCTGATACCACCAATTGAATTGAATTTTGCATCTTAATTTTGCATACATGCTTTCACCATCCTAACGAGCTTAGTAGGCATTTCTAGTTGGATCATCACGTTCCATAGTAATAACACTTCTTACAATTGACATAGGCTTATTTAAAGTCTACAATTAAGAAATACACATCTTTATCAAATTCATGACTCTTCTCCGTTTTTTATTTGTTAAGTGATATCGTGTATTTGGTCAGTTGTGGATTTTCACGCTGTTCAATCTGAACTCAACATATTTGTAATCAGAGTGCAACAAATCTTAGTCTAAATGTAGACAAAAGTGAAGTTACGTAATTTTTTAGACAACATTGTCCTATTTACGATTAATACTCTTTAATGGCATCATACTTGGCCGTGTTTAAAAGAACTCCAACATTAAACTTTAAGCAACATATAAATACTGCCATTGTTGAAGCCTTTTAAAAGTTTTTCAATGCGTATTATCGTACCAAACTATTTAACTCTGCTAATTAAATCCGAACACTGTATTTTGCATTAGTTCTGTCTTTATTAAAATATGGAGTAGTAGTAAAGGCATTTTTATGTTGGCCATGTTCTCCAGATTATCTATCCTTGGCATGATTACTCACTTCATATGAACTACGTAAGTATTTCTAAAGTTATAATCTCGTTGTCAATACACTGACTTAGACTTTATTATTTCTATCCTCGATAGAACTCTAGATGAACCTTATCTCCCTCCAACATTAAATTTCATGTACCATCATGTTCATGAATATCAAATATGTCTTATTGTACCTACATCTATACAGATAGAATTCTAATATAGCAGATATTCCGCACTTGAAATGTATATTCATGTTGATGTTTATAATCATGGTCATTATTTTCCCTTATCCTCTCTTCTTCTTCCATTTCTTTCCTCTCCTACTCTCTATTTATCTTCTCCATGCTTACCCAGTCTTCTTTTACATCCACTTTTTCTTCCCCTCCCTACTCTTATCCTTCCGTACCCATATTTTTTTCTCCTTCTCCTCCCGTCACTTTCTTTGTTTCCTCTCTTCGCTTTCCATTTACCTCCTCTCCATATTTTCTCTTCCCCTCCCCGATCTTCTCTTCTATTCTCTTCTAACCTGAACCTAACCTATTCTTAACTATCTAATCCAAATTTAACATAAAGCTTACAGAACCTTACCTAAGTGTGCAGCAAATTTTAACCCCCCCCCCCTAGACATGTTCAATGTTCATGTCAATGATGTTTAAGCATTTTTTTTTGAAAATATTTACTTTCGACACGGCTCAATAGATGTTTTAGATGAATTTTAGTCATTGATCTTCTACTATAACCAATATCTTTTAAACTAGCGTTCCTGATTAGAGGATCTGCAAAAAAAAAAAAACATCGTTTAGCTAACAAATAATTTAAGTACAAATCTGTTCGAAAATGTATTGTTTTTTCGACCGAATTATATTTTATTTGAGTAGTTTTTTAAGTCGAGAAGTAGTATCCAAAAAATTATCTAGTAACTTATACTAATTTTGATTAGTTATGATTAATAATATGTATAGATCATTTAAGACTATAAAAAAAGCGTGAAAACCTACCTGGGATCTTAGCAGCATCAATCTTAGGCACTTCCTTGTACTCATCATCGAGAGCTATAACAAAATTTCAAATAATCATACAATTCATAATAAATGAGCCAAATACAAAAAAAGCCAAATGCCTAATGACTTTAAACTCTATTTACTAATTACTATATAATTATATTTTTTGATAACTGTTCAAATCAAATTGTTTATTATGCTATCAACTATTATTTATAATCAATGTTCTAAACTATTTCTAGTAGCCCCGTTTGCGTTAATCTATGAGATATAAATTGTTTTGAAAATACATCAAAACTTTAATCTAAACATAATTATATAAAAATTGTCCATATAATAATATTAATATTATATTTACAATTAATGCCTTCGAATATTGCTTCTTGCACATCACGTTCGTATTTCATGCATTCTAAAGTTCAAACAAAATACATTTTAATGTACATATTTTTTTCGATAGTATTTAAATTATATTTGTATGTATATGTCCATGTATATATATTATTATTTTTAATATATATTATCAGTGTAAACTATAATACTTATTATGTATGAAATATATATAGGTTATTACGAAATATATTAAGGCCTTCAGTGTCTGCATAATCTAAAATTAAAAAGAAAACAATTATCACATAATGAGTATAAATTAACTTTGTGGAGATACTTCCATAAAGCGCAAAAATTATTACCCGGCACAGCAAACATAAAAGCCAATTCCTCTAAAATGTACAAAACATAGTACATCGTTTATTGATTAAACTGGATTAATTTTATTTTTTATGTATAAATTAGAATATTTCAGTCAAGAGAGAAATTAAGTGTGTATTATTAAATCGAAAAAAGCACCATAATAAAATAGATGAATTGAAGATCAGACTGAAGTAGCATAAAATATAATAATTAGCTGAGGGTTGAAAAGTTAGATAAAAGGTTGTTCATCAGAAATATTCCTTAAGTTTTTAGAAGTAAATTTAAGATTTATATCACTGATTATTTTGTATGGATTAATTTTTTGTTGTGATTATTTTACTATCACATTCGAACATTTTTTGCATATCACTTTTTGTCATTATAATTTTTTTTTCTGTTATATTATTAGGATTACCCATTGAATATTGATTTCCAAGTACAATTCTTTTTATTATAGTTGGAAATCCCGCTAGAAAAAATAAACAGATTTCAAATAAAATATTAATATTAAAGTAATAGTAGTAGTACTTATCTTGGACAATCATTGATAGATAACTGGGATCATTCGCACGAAATAAAATGTCGTATAGAGAAAGCAAGAGCGGCTTTTATGAAAATGAGGAATATATTCTGTAGCCATCAACTAAGCATGAATCTCCGAATAAGAATGATTCGTTGCTATGTATTTACTGTATTTTTTTATGGAGTAGAGACTTGGACTTTATCCAAAGTTCCGATCAACCGAATCCAAGCGTTCGAAATGTGGATATACCGAAGAATATTAAAAATTAGTTGGTGCGATCACATAACGCATGTCACAGTATTGGAACGAATGAACAAGAATCTGGAATTAGTGACAACAATAAAAAGGCGTAAACTTCAATACCTGGGACATTTTATGCGGCATCCAGAAAAGTATAGTTTACTACAACTAATACTACAAGGCAAAATAGTTGGAAGAAGGAGCCGTGGAAGACCTCAAATTTCTCGGATGGACAATCTCCGAGAGTGGTTCAATATATCTACGATCTCTCTATTCAGAACAGCCGTTAATAGAGACCAAATAGCTAACATGATTGCCAACGTTCGATAACGAATACGGCACTCAAAGAAGAAGAATAGTAGTAGTAATAGTAAAAGTAATAAATATAGTAATAGTAATAGTTATAGTAAAAGTAATAGTAATAGTAAAAGTTGAAGTAATAGTAAAAGTAAAAGTAATAGTAAAAGTAATAGTAATAGTTAAAGTATTAGTAGTAGTAATAGTATTAGTAGTACAAGTATAACTACTACTTTTACTATTACTATTACTACTACTTTTACTATTACTTTTACTACTACTATTACTATTACTTTTACTAAGAATAATAGTAATAGGAAAAGTAGTAGTTATACTTTTACTACTATTACTACTACTATTACTATTACTTTTACTATATTAATATTTAAATCAAGACATACATTTATTAGACAAAAAAAACATTAAAAATAAGAGTCCGTGAAGATAAAACATCATTAAAAGCGGTGCATAATTAACTGAACTTAGAGTAGAAAAGGTGTTTCAAATACTGGTACTACACTTGTTATGTACTCATGATGAACAGAAAATTAGAAATTTATAAATCATTTTTATTAATATACACTATACAAATTTTGGATCAGAATATTCTATTTTAAGTATACTATACCTGTTATATCACAAGCTTGCCTGAGTAGTTCGTCTGCAATATATTATTTAAAACTTATGCATAAAAACAAAATAAAAAACTTAAAGAAAGTTATTTTGGATGAAATAATTATATTACTGACTTGTAATGACAGCCTTCGTCTTATAATCCACTGTAATCAAAATATAAATATTGAAGTTTTTTCTTAAATTTTTAAGTAATTCTTTTTAGGTTTGTGTAAAAATTTAATTATTACCTATTTTTTCCGCCAAAACCTTCACAACGGCTAATGAAAACAAAACACAGCAAAGTTTCATTTTTAGCTGCAAACAATAATACCGTATTATTTGTAAGTATTTTGTGCAAGACACAAAAATTTTATAGCTACGATATAAAATGCTGTTGAAATTTTAAGGCAATGGCCTATTCGATCAGCTTGCTGTACTGTTAATAAATAATTTTTTTTGCGGCTTCTATTTATAACAGTAGTGTTAATATATTATGTGTCTGTGTCGTCTATGTAGATTTATTTACAGAGGTGTTTTTTAAAAATATAATTACATGTCTACATTACACCAAATCGAGTTTAAACAGCACATACTATTAGTTACTGGTATTCCAATCACTCTTAAGACTAATGTTTGCATTATCGAATTTTAACCATATATTCCGTTCTAAGCCCGTATGCACTATACAAATAGGTATTTAAAATAAAAGTCATCGCATAGACTTGTTTTAAAAACGTATTTTACTCTATAACAATAATTCATTCCTGAGGTTCTTTTTACAAATATAAACCAGTATAATCCGTTTTTTATTTTTAGAGCAATTGTACCACTCTGAGTTAATATTATATAAAAAATATTTAAGTATAAATCATTTGTAAACATTGTAACATGATTCATTTATTGTTTAGTAGCACTGTAATTTGTATTGAAATCTACAGTACATAATATTTTAGCTTCTCATAAATTTTGTTATACCTGGAATGAAACTATTGCCAACGTTATTACATCTTTTGTATTCTATTATTATCAAATTTACCGGAAAATATTTCACATGTCGCCATGTACAGTGAAGATATTGAGTTCAATTTCTGTCAGGAACTTAAATTGAAACAGATTAAAAATTAAAAAATAATGCATTTATAATGTGTATACAAATTTTCAAGCACCTATACTTAATGTAGTAGTTGTAATAGTTATAAAAATAGTATTAGTATTAGTTATAGTAAAAATAGTAGTAATAGTTATAGTAAAATTTGTAGTTATAGTAAAAGTAAAAGTAGTAGTAATAGTAAAAGTAAAAGTAGTAAGTAATAGTAATAGTTATAAAAATAGTAATAGTTTTAGTTATAGTAAAAATAGTAGTACAAGTAATAGTAAAAATTAGTAGTAATAGTAATAGTAAAAGTAATAGTAGTAGTAATAGTAAAAGTAATAGTAGTAGTAATAGTAAAAGTAATAGTAGTAGTAATAGTAAAAGTAATAGTAGTAGTAATAGTTATAAAAATAGTAATAGTTATAGTAAAAGTAATAGTAGTAGTAATAGTTATAAAAATAGTAATAGTTTTAGTTATAGTAAAAATAGTAGTACAAGAAATAGTAAAAGTACTAGTCGAATTATACTATTATAGTATAATTAGACTAAGTCGAATGGCTTCAGTCGTTTGAGTAGTCTGATGTCTTGCAACTTGTCGAGGAGTTGTATGGCAGCTGTATTTGAGTAAAGTTCTAGTCTTTTTGCGTGTTTGCGGGCAAACCGGGTAATTTCATCCTGCACGGATGTTTTTTTTTAAATCGCGCAGTATGATGTCGTTCTTATCATACCGATATGCTGCAACAATAGTACGATGAGCGATGTTCTGTCAACGTTAGATGAGTTCGATATTAGACCTACTGGCGCAACCCCACAGTTGAATACCATAGATCCAAATCGGTTTAACGATCGATACATACAAGGAGACGTTTGCTGGTTAGGTCTAGCACGGAGTGTCGCCCAACTAGCCAATACAGTTTGCGTATTTTTTCTTTGATTTGTAACTTTTTCTGGCGTACATGATGTTTCCAGTTAAGTCGCGAGTCAAGGTGCATTACCAGATATTTTGCTGAATTATTTTGTGGGATTATCTGTTGATTAAGCGTGACTGAGATATATGCGGTTTTACGTAGCGTGTAGTTGACGTGCACCGACTTGTCACTATTGATTTTTATTTTCCAACGCTTTGTCCAGTCGTAAACGTTGTTGATTGTTATTTGTAGGATCTCAGTCGCAGCTTGTTGGTCCTTATTGGTTGACAGTATTGCCGTGTCATCGGCAAACATAGCTATCGTCATTAGTTGGATTATCAGCTGTATAGAGTAGGTACAAAATAGGTCCGAGAACACTACCTTGAGGTACTTCAGCTGATATACTCTTCCAGTTAGTGGTCGCTTCTTCGTATTTAACACGAAACTGTCTTTCAGTCAGATATGATTTGAGAAGTGCACACCATGTATGTGGGAGCTGCTCTTGCAGTTTTATTAATAAACCTTTGTGTCAAACTTTATCAAAAGCTTGGGCCACATCAAGGAATACACCACAGCAGTAATTTTTCTCTTCCAACGCCTTACTGATCACGTTTGTTACGCGATGAACTTGGTCGACGGTCGAGTGTTTATGACGGAATCCAAACTGGTGATCTGGTATGAGTTGTTTTGCTTCAATAAGTGGGCTAAGACGCTTAAGAAGAAGTTTTTCGAATAGTTCTCTGATTTCTTTCGGGTAGTTGAACTCGCGGTCGTTGCCTTTTTGAGCTTCAGGTGTTGCCGTTTTTGCCGCTCAACAATGTCATTAGTCAGTTTATGTACTGCCATTTCAATGTCTGTTGACGATTTTAACCGCACAGAAAGAGTGAAAGCTTCTTCCAGAGTATTTGTAAACAGGTCTCAGTCTGTGTATTTGTTTGTTAGAAAATGTTTTCGTTTATTCATAATGACATTTGAGCTTAACGATAATAACACAGGGATGTGGTCGGCGGTTAGCTCTATTGATCCTTCAGCTTCAACATAATTAGAGGAGATGCCTTTAATTACGAAGAAGTCAAGCAGGTCGGGGATTTTCTTAGAATCGGCTGGCCAGTAGGTTGGCTCTCTAGTAGAAATTATTTCAGCGTTTATAGTGTTAGCTACTTTTAGTAGATCACGCCCTTTCGGAGTGATCAGTCTTGATCCCCAGTGAGAGTGCTTGGCATTGTAGCCACCACCAGCAATGAATCGGTCTCCTAGCGTTTGGAAAAATGCAGAAAATTAAATTTCATCTGCACCTCCTTGCGGTGGGCAATAAATAGCCGTAATCGTGAGGTTATTATTCCCATCTTTAACACGAACACTTGTAGCTTGTATGTACAGTTCTGAGTATTTTTCAAGCTCGAAATGCTTTATGGTATCTCTTATGATTACAGCTGTACCTCTACGTGCTCTACCACTCAGGTGTAAAGTTGTATAGATTTTATAGTTTTTTTACTATTACTATTACTATTACTTTTACTTTTTGTTTTACTATTACTACTACTTTTACTATTACTATTACTTTTACTATTACTACTCGTTTTCGATTTTCCTACTCTCAATATTTTTTCATCCTATCCCCGATCTTCTCTTCTAACCTGAACCTAACCTAGTCTTAACTATCGAATCCAAATTTCACATAAAGCTTACAGAACTTTACTTAAGTGTGCAGAAAATTTCACCCCCCTCCCCCTTCTCCCCCTAGACATGTTCAATGTTCATGTCAATGATGTTTAAGCATTCTTTTTAAAAGTATTTACTTTCGACACGGCTCAATAGATGTTTTAGTTGAATTTCAGTCATTGATCTTCTACTATAATTAATATCCTTTAAACTAGCGTTCCCGATTAGAGGATCTGCAAAAAAAATCATTGTTTTGCTAACAAATAATTTAATTACAAATCTGTTCGAAAATGTATTGTTTTTTAAAAATAATGTAATGTATTTTTATAAATTATATTTGGCCAATTTTAATTATACAATTATAATAATGAAACATTATAAAATAAGTGATTATATATATGACTTATGACCAATACTTGAACAAGATATTAGTATTAAAACTATTCAGTATTTGTTTTAAATACTTTTCTTTTATTTAATTAAAACATAAAGTGAGCTACTTTATATTTTAATTAAATAAAAGTTGTTTCTCTCTCTCTATTACATTTACTATTACTATTGATACTACTTTTACATTCTTGTTTTACTATTACCACTACTATTACATTTACTATTACTAGTAATAGTAAAAGTAGTACTAATAGTTATAGTAAAACAAAAAGTAATAGTATTAGTAATAGTTAAGTTATAGTAAAAATAGTAGTAATCGTATAAGTTATATTTATAGTAAAAATAGAAGTAATCGTATAAGTTATATTTATAGTAAAAATAGTAGTAATCGTATAAGTTATATTTATAGTAAAAATAGTAGTAATAGTAATAGTAAAAGTAGCAGTACTATAAAATATAGAAAAATACCTTTTTTATTTATTAATCATTTGATTAACAGACAATATAATAATAATATAATATCACATCACAATTATATATCAGAATAATTTTTTAAAATATACTTTACTTCCTCTTTGGGTACCTTGCCTGATTATTGTGTCTGTAATATATTTTTTAAAACATATTATGTATAAAAACAAATTTTATTAGTCCAAAAAATTAAGTTGGTAATTGAAGTTTTTTTGTATTAAATGGGCGATACTGACTTGTAATGACAACCTCCTTCTTATAGTCCTCTGTAAATATAAGATGAATATAAAATGTTATTTTTTGTTTTTAACTAACCTGGTAAGGCACATGTAAAAATTATATAATTACCTATAGTTTTTGCCAAAACACTCAGTAAAGCTTCATTTTTAGCTGCAGATAATTATAATGTAATAATCTTAAATGGTATCGAAAGTACTTTATAAGACCAAATTTAAAACAAATGAGTTCCTTCCTGTTTAAACATAAAGGAACTCACCATAAATTTCTTCAGACTTTATATAATTTAATATTTTTTGCAATCATTTCGATAGTTGTACTATATTTACATTGCAACAGACATTGTAATATAGTCTGTATTTAACTTTGAGAAAAAGTTACAGTTCAAAAAAATTATTTTCAAAATTTTCGATTAAGTTTAAAAATCCAATTTGTTTGATCGTTTTAGACTTTGAAACGGCAATTACACCGATTTGTCTTTTTAACAATTTATAGTCCAAGGATCGTTTTGCATAGCTTTTTTTAAAAAAGCAGTTGTATAACATTTAGCTTTCATAACAATACATTTCCATAGCTTTTCTTTAATATAACTGTACATTTTTATTACTCCTGTAAGGAGTTATTTCTAGTAAATAATGAGTACACTTACCTTACTGGCAATGGCCAA